ACACATTTTCTTTTCTCTCTTTTGCTTTGAAATTAAGCAGATGAAAATGGAGAGGAAGAGAAATAAGCACGCTTCGGTGCTCTTGTGGGCTACTATGGCTGCATTGCTTGCTCAAAATTTGGTCATTCCAGTCGTGTCTTCAGCCACCTTTGAGGATCAAAAGACCTCTTACTCTCCAGAGCCAAGGACGGGAACTCCAACCACGGGTCCTCAATTATCCTTTTTTTTTCTTGATTTAGTAGGCGCATCTGGACGTCCCAACTAAGTTGGCATAGCTAATATCTTCATTTGTAATGCAGGTTCTCACGTGCCTCCATTACATGGTTCTGGCGGAGGCCATAGAACCCAAACACCTTCTCATGGGGGAGAAAGCTATTGCAGTTGCGGGAACCCCCCAAGTGGAGGACACCACCATACTACTCCTTCTCCTCCCACCGGAGGTGGTGGTGGATACTATAACCCCCCTTCAAGCTCTACCCCAACTACACCCACCACTCCAACGCCCACCATTGTGAGTCCACCCACCATTTTAAGTCCTCCAACCACGCCAATCGACCCTGGAACTCCATCGATACCATCACCTCCATCTGGCGGCGGCCATAGAACCCCAACACCTTCTCCTGGAGGAGGAAGCTATGGTGGCACGCCACCAGCTGGCAACTGCGGAAACCCTCCAAGTGGAGGGCACCAACATACCACTCCTTCTCCTCCCACCGGAGGTGGTGGTGGATACTATAACCCCCCTACAATCTCTACCCCAACTACACCCACCGTTGTGAGTCCACCCACTGTTGTGACTCCACCCACCATTACTCCAACCACTCCAATCGACCCTGGAACTCCCATTACCCCAATAGACCCCGGAACTCCATCGATACCATCACCTCCTACCGGAGGTGGTGGTGGATACTATAACACCCCTCCAAGCTCTACCCCAACTACACCCACCATTGTGAGTCCACCAACCATTTTAAGTCCTCCAACCACTCCAATCGACCCCGGCACTCCGTCGATACCGTCACCTCCATTTGGATTTGATCCAAACTCACCGCCTTTTACTTGCGAGTAAGTAATACTATTCATCTTCTTTTTTTTAAATACACTAGATGGCCTGTTTTATTCATAATAAAGATAAAAATAGTACAGACTTTGGAGGAGTCTGGGCCTGACCAACCTGCAAAATAACACTAGTTTTGTTTTGTTCGTGTAAACTGCAGTTACTGGAGGACTCACCCTGGACTGATCTGGGGACTGTTCGGCTGGTTGGGAACGGTCGGTGGAGCATTCGGTGTGTCTAGCCTACCTGGGCTCGGATCCAGCACGAACCTGCTGCAAGCTCTTTCAAACAACCGACCAGACGGGCTCGGAGCACTGTACAGGGAAGGAACAGCTGCTTTACTAAACTCCATGGTGCACAGGGGCTTCCCTTACACAACAAGCCAAGTTAGAGATGGTTTTGCAGCTTCGCTTAGCTCAAGCAAGGCTGCAGCAGCTCAAGCTATGCTATTCAAGCAGGCTAATGAGGGAAGAACCAAGCCTAGAGCTTGAATTACCAGTAAATTTTTATTTTGAAATCTGAGTAACAGTGTGCTTTTTCATATTTAGTTTCATGTTCATGCTGTATTTCCTTAATTTGAGTGAGGTATTTGGGATGGAATTTTATGCTTATTCTTAGGTTTCAATGTAATGTCACATACATAACTTAAGATGGATACAAACTTTGTGGTTTGTTTTATTCATACTTACATGCCATAATTAATTCACTACCCCATGTTTGGTTTTTCATAAACCGTCCTAGCCACCGACTTAAAAAATTTAAGGGTCAAGGGTTAACGGGTCTTACTATCTTGAATCAAGATCAGACGAATATTTTTGTCTTTATTCACTTGACGAAAAATAAAACAGTAATGGAGATAGTTTCAAGGAAACAAAAGGATTGACAGATATGTATGTAACTGTAGATGATTGAATGAAAAAGTTGACTTTATTTTAAAATGTCCAATAATAGGATGATATGTGCATTATGTTAAGGATTATGTCAAAGCATATGACATTGTAGCTTGATTGTTCATATAGGAAACAAAAATGCTACTTGTACATCAAGAAGCATACATCAAGGTGTACATTACACTCACATAGGGGTGTAACCCACTTGTATAAAATATTTTTTTATTCAAACGGGTCCCACCCCCATATGAGTGTGATATACACGCCGATGTACACCTTGATGTACCGGTAGCAAAACCGTATAGGAAATACATACGTGTAGACGTAAGCACACACATCATCAAAATGATCTCTTTTTGATCCTTCTTGTAACATGTAATGATACTTTTCGATACGTTCCTCAAAAAATTCAATTCGTGTGGCAATCAAATAAAAAGTTATTTTATGTAGCTAGACTAGTCAATATTTATATGTTTGGATGCAACCCCTAAACAATGAAAATGAATTTCCAATTGATACAATTGAAAGATCTCTCAAAAATATTCGTTATACGAATTGGGATTTTCAACCAAACCTAGTGCAAGCTAAATAAAAAGTTAGAATGGTCAAAAGGTTCAATTGGGATCTAACCAGTGTCAAACCGGATGCCTCACACTCTAAAATATAATAACAACAATAGATTCTTAATTTTCACATGATATTCATTAGTATAATTATTATTGGACTCAAAACTAACAACCAATGTGTCCATATGATTTGCTTTGTTTCAAATTGAACATTGTTTCAGCAGTGTGAAGTCCTGCGCTACATCAAGTTCAACCTTCACTTCCTTTACAAATGCTCAAGTTATGACCTTAATCTTAGGCATTGCTGGATGACAGACAAGACACTGGTGGAAAGCCACACCACTCACTAATCCAAGGCTACCCACATTCAGGCTTTTAAAGCATTGCCGTGAAAAAGGTTGTCAGAAACTTACATTCAAGGACTCGATGAATTCAAGAACAAAGTTATCTAAACGGCCAAACTTCAGCATCGAAATCTTGTGGAGCTTCTAGGATGCTCTATTGAAAGAGAGGAAAAGATGCTGATTTATCAATTTAACATTGTTAAGCAATCCTAGTACAACTGGATGAGGTTTACTAACTAATGTAATAGTTTGATTTCGCAGATCAAACAAAAAGTGTGTTATTTGATTGGTCTTAGCTCCTCCAAGTTGTTAATGGAGTTGCTCGGGGACTTGTGTGTATTTATCAAGATTCTCAATTGAGAATCATTCATAGAGATCTCAAAGCTAGCTAAATATTGCTAGACACTTACATGAATCTAATTAAGATATCAAACTTTGACATTGCTAGAAGTTTTCGAGGGAATGAAACCGAAGATTCTCAGCAACACGACTGATGTAGGGGAAGATTATAGAAAACATAAAAATCTCACACAAAAAGAATTTCAACGAAGAGAAATTCAGGAAAACTTTATTTCATTCAAAATTGGGTTGCCTCAAAGGGCTTACAAAGTTTAAATAGCAAAAAACTG